CCCCCCCCTCCCCCCCAACACCTCTTATGCTCCAGTTTTCTTTCATTCCTCTCTCGTCACCTCAACGTATTTGATCATCTCTAAATTCATGTTATCAAACATCCTACAGGTTTGGGTGATTGTGCGCATGAACAGCCTGAAGGACGCGGATGAGCTTCTTACATTTGATCTTCCGATCTTAAAGAAAATGGGAGCTCAGGTGTACACCAAGTGCAAGTCTATACGGCCAGTCAACAATTGGATCGAAGATCTTCAGACACTGGTTTAATTTTGCTTGCTTAGATAAATGGTGTAATCCTGTAATTTTTAGGGTTAGATTAAGGTGAGATATTTTACCGTGAACAGTTCCTCTTTGTAGTATTTGGGACATCAAGACATCATTGACATTTTTAACAGGGAATATAACCTTTTCGTATACCTTCCATTGAAAAATTCTATTCCTTCCACACTGATTTCTTTTCGAAACCCAGAGAATGGAGCTATGAACTGTGTTACGGAAAAACATCACAGTCCCCCTTTAAATACATTCACGAGGCATAATCTACCATTTCCTACCATTTCCGGCTTCCCACAGGCCATTGTTATCGAGAACACGGGGTATACTTCCACCCTTGAGGGGCTTGATGGAACTCGGGAGGACAGAACTTAACTACTCTAGGTAATAAGGCGACAGCTTGTGTTTCGTTCAGAAACGTTTTCCCTTCCCCCACCCCCTCCCGCACTAGTTTTGCACTGAACTCACGGTTGTATTATCCGAGACTCCGTGACTCTACCATGAAACGCATGAATGGCGCATAGCGCTGAAATAAAGAGTGACTGTTCACAGACAAGCGTGATACAGGTGTTAGGATTAAGTGACATTTGGATCCAGGGGTGTAAATCACATTATGAATGTATCAGCCCCATAGGTAATAAAGACAGGCTTTAAGCTATTAATTAATACAGAATTTCAGAAAGTTTGAATTTGTAGTAACAATTAATACAGTAGATGTCTTGCTGTAGAAAAAATTTCTCAGCTTCTGTTATTTACAAAAAATAAACAAAAAGTTGGTGATGGAAATAAATCCATGTTTTTCTTTTCACATATGCAACGAACATTCCAGTCGATTGCGTGTGTTTTGTTCAAAGTTTAAATTTCCGGCTGTAACTTAGTGGGTTCCCACTGATTGAAGATTATTTCGATGGCGGTTATTTACTCGAGTGATCTATGTGTCACACTTTGCCTCAAGTGGGATACAAAATTGGCAGATTTCCTATGTCTTTATTTTTGCCGATAATTACCCCTGTGAGGTAAAGGAACAACATTAAGTTTTGAGCCAATTCTACGTTTTGAGCCAATTCTACGTTTTGTTCCAAAGAGATATTTGAATGACAAACCTTCAACTGATGACGATTTTCACGGACACATAAAGAACAAAAACAAAATAGACTGCTATATTACATTTAGGTCCCCGGTCCTGTCTACTTAATAGTTAGGTCCTGGGTTTTGACAAAGAAGTATCGGAAGAAAGAGGAGGCTAGCGAAGATTATCATTTCTCTTATTGTCATTTTTTGCTAGTTTGTGTGCCCTAGACCTCAAAAACAAAACCTGCTTGTAATCATAATTACAACTCTACAACTTCCAGGTGAAAGAATGTTGGCAAATTATTTAACGCCTGTTCAGGTGTTCCCGGAACTGACTGAATCCGTTCTTGAAAAGAAGACGCAATTCAAGAGGTTTAGCTGGCGTTGCCTCCGGAAGATTGATATTTATAGGTAATGAATGTTAATTTGTCAAATTGTTGGTATCGCAAATTTTTCTGTTCGAAATCTCAAAAATTTCGTCAGCCTTTGCGAAGAGATTCGAAGTTCTGTTTTAAGTGCATTTTGTTTCGGTCCCCGTCCAATTCTCGAATTTATTTCAACGCTATGGAAGTCTGGGATTTGTATTTATAGTCGAGGGCCTCCATCAAAAGGTGGCGAGAGAAGCTTAAAGTTGTCGTTGTGAGGGACAGATTTCTGTGTTTGATCGCTGCCGTTTGAAAGTACTGCGATGAACAAGCTGAAGTCTTGTAAATTGAGAAAAATCATCAAAATATAAGAACTGCATCCACAGCAGATTCTCTGAAAGCCATCATTATTTTTTAAAGTGAGCCCAGTGAAAAGAATGATTACTGATAAAATTAACAAATGCGTAGTTCATTGCCAAAATGTGATGTTGCAATCTTTTTGGCTGTTCACAAATTATGAATGAATGGAATCATGCAAAATGACCGTTGTAAGATAGCTGACCGTTCTTGTGCGCTTATAAATAGCACATGGTTAACAATTACACGACCCACCCAAATTACTGTATCATTAAATAATTTGTTTGACACCTTATCACTTCATTCGTAGAGTGCCGTTTTCTGCGATATAATTATCCGCCCGGGAAATGCTAAGCTTATGAGGCAGTGCGCGATTTCAGGTGATTTCGTTTCCTTCCGTTTTCTAAGGTGATATAGAGCGAGGAAAGGTGAACTTCGATGCGATGAAGTCAGTTTTGGGATTTAAATTATATAAAAAAATAAACGGTTTAATATACCGTTTAAAACGGCTTTTGCAATAGTTGAAAAATTGCTTGAAACGAGGTCAAAACATTCGATTTCTTCGTTCATTACATGGTTTTAAATAAACGACGAAAGATTTTCTTAATCGGATTTATTGCAACATTATCCTTGCAGTTGCATGTTCAGTGTTTCTACCTCTCATTGACCTAACGTATTAAGTGATTAGCTTGTGATTCATCCCAGGGCCCTGGCGCACTTTCTCAATCTCGGCCCATTTTTTTAAACGCCAGTGAAAGGCTAACATGATCTTGTGTGCTCAACAGCTCTGCTTCTCCAACATCCCGCTCGGTTTCCCCCCTCGACAGAATGTAGCTCCTCAAGTATTTTAAGCCTGCCGTGCCACCTTTAATGTTTGGTCGTAACGTGAGCGTATGATAGTTATTCAGTCCATGGGTGAGACAGTGACGAGAGAAATCTTGGCCTTTGAACTGATGACGACACATCACAGTCAAAAACATGCAAATTTTGTCACAAGCTTATGTTTCTCTCCTGCTTTCCCTCCTTTTACGTCATCAAAATGAGGAATCCAGTTTTCTTTTCCAGAGCATTCAATACATTTTTTTTTCTCGAAAAAGCGACTCTGAGTACAATGCAGAAGACGCAACAATCATCTTTGATAAGGACTAATTTGTTATGCTTTGTTCGTGTAACCTATTTATATTAGAGCCAGACATTTCTCAAGTGGCTAACGTTTACCTTACTGGATGCGGGCAGATGTTTTTCTGCAATCTAGCCATTATTCAACCCAAACCGCCAATATCACATGAAGAATGCTCTGTATGTGGTTTCAGAATTTCTTCTTAAAATTCCGTTTATTAGATTCGCGCACCGCGAATGAAGATTATAAATTTTACCAAGTAAATCTCATAAAGCATTCTCAAGAAGCTTTCCGCAGAAACCATTTATGAAGACATAAAATACATGCCGTTTTACCCTTGTGCATTTTCTCAACAACAACAACAACAAGAACAATACAACAATTTACCCCAGATCAATACAACTCATCGTTTAAGGTATTTATAGCTGCTATAACTATCAGCCTGGAAAAAGAAAAACCCACAAATACACTTGACAATATTTTGTAACCTTCGGTAAATGCTTTGAAGTAACAACGGCTGTAGACGAAGCGCAGTGCATTGTACCGGATCTGTGACCTGGCGCACGTACAAGAAAAAACTAAGAACGCGTTTTTGTCTTTACGAAAAGAAAAGAAGCTACTTAACAATGAACGGAACCCGATAGTGAGAACATAATTGGGTGATTACCTTCTTCACCGATATATATCAGTCTTATTAAGTGTTGAAAACTTGTCAGAGTAGATTTGCGTGGTTAGTTAAATCAATAGGATTTATCATTTGATCAACAACTCATTGCCCAGGTATTTCGTGTGTAGAGGCCGTTCGTTTTAAACTTCCTTCTTGTAAGGAACACGCCAGCTTGTTACAAGAAAAACTAACAAAATAACAGCGAGCCAGATGAATCTGAACGATGATTGAACTTATTTTGGGGGCCAAGTTTAATTCATCTGCCGGCTATGAGCCAACATAATCCTAGGATTTTTTTTCCACTTTACAAGGAAATAAACCTTAAGAGCTCTATTTACCGACATAATTATTAAAATAAGAGTGTTTCTATTCCAAGGCCAACAACTCAGTATGATATCGATCGATAATGAAGCTCAGAAGGAAACTTGTGTCAAAATGGCCGGATCAAAAAACGATTAAGAAAATAAATGACTGGAACTTAAATAAATTATATTATGGCGAGGGAAGAGTAACAAAGAAACTAAAAAAATCTTCTATAAGATTGAAAAAGCCATAAAGTTCCACCTGTCGATGCCCACGCCGTAAGCATAGAATGTAAATCTTACAAGAAATTTAACAGGCGTGACTCAAAGGTGTTTCTCGGTCAAATTCCAAGTGTATCAACTTTCAGATGCGCGCCATGTATACTGACGAAAATAGCACAAATGACGTCTGGCTTTCTCTTCAATTTTTTAGCCATTAAAAGATAACGTAATTTAAAACAGATTTGAGTTAAAGACTGATAAAAGTAAACTATTGCTAATCTGGATTTTCTGAATAGAAATTAGTTTTAAAAACAACTCGATTAAAATAATTTCAAACTACCGTGTCGTTTTAAGAGTGGGTACATGTCTGTGTCACGTTGTGGGTGGCAAAATGCCGAATTGTGGTTTAGGGAACATTCATTTTATTCATGCGAAATTTTGACAAGTGTCTTCTGAAGTCTGAAAGCAACGGGTGGGTGGTAGATCGAAAAAATAAAAGACGTCTGAAGGATTCAAAGGCGTGCGAAAAAATGTATTCGGAAGAAAAACAACCTCCTCTCATACAGATTTACTTGGACTTAAGTCGCTTTGAGTCCCTAAGGGAACTTCGGATCTTTCTCTGGAAATTCCTTTGCACAAAGGGTCAGAGATTTTGCCGGCACATAAAATATTACTGGGGTGTTCTGAAAGAAAATTGATCACATTTTGATAGTTAATAATATTTGGCGCGCATCACTAGAAACTGAGCTGGCGGTGTGTGTACCCAGCTCTAATGCAATTTTATCAGTGATCTACCTGCACGCAATACAGAGCTGAAGTACTTGAAAGAAAGCCACATCTGGATTTATTCTATCAAAGGCTTTTCCTGAACGCTTGCTCAAAGTGGACGACTTTGATATTTTAAATGGACGCGCCCGGTGATCTCATCAAAGAGATTCGAATTATTAATTGCCGCAGGAAACGACGTTAATATTATTACTCATTGTTATTTGCAAGTCACGCATCAAATGAAATTGTAATTTAAACTTACATGTTGCAAGCTTTTGTTCTTGGTTCTACTTTACGATTTTATTGTTCACACGAGGATTTAAGATCCCGGCCACAACTGTCATTAGTAAAATACCGGTTATCCAAGTGGGCGCCATACCGGAAACTAACTCCGCACGTGACGAAAGAGAAATGCTCATTACACAAGTATTAGGTTAAATATCCTATACGTTATTAGAATACTGACAGTTGGGGGTGAGCCATCGTTAAACGTACACGGTTCGAGCTAGAATTTGAGAGACAGAGTTTCCGCACAATCATTGTTATCGAGGAATCGTCGCAATGGAAGACCCCGTAAATGTTTCAACCAGCCCATCTACAACACAGCCTTGCCAGTTGTCTGAAGGCCATATCAGTGGATTGTTGTCCGTAAACATCTTATCAATGATTATTGGCACAATTGGTAATTTATTGGTGATCGGAACAGTTTTCACGAATGCCAGTTTACAGATCATTTCCAATTACTGGTTAGCAAGTATGGCTGTGGCTGATTTGATGGTAACTGCACTCAGTCAACCACTGTTTTCAGTTTTTCTTGGCCTACAGTTACGCGACGAATGCCACGAATTTGTTTCCCAGGCGTTCCGTCTTATCGCCAACATGTCATGCTCTGCGTCTGTTCTTCATCTCTGCCTAATAAGCATTGATCGGTGCTTGGTGATTCTGCGGCCGCATGATTTTCGAAGCTACCGCACGAAAAAACGATTCAAAATCGCCCTGGTTTTCTCGTGGACTTTGCCGGTAATCTATGGGATCTTACGTCTGACAGTGAGCAAGAAAGGTACTTCTTATTTCACAGTGGCAGCTGTTGGCATCTGTTATCTGATTATCATTTTGTGCTACAGTTTAATCATTTTTAGAGTCCGAAAACAAGGTTCGGCGACTCTCAAGCGGTTGCGTGGACAGTCACTTAGGGGTACACCTTCTGAGCACATGGTTGAGCGTCGCGTGACGGTCACAATAGCCATAGTTGTCGTTATTTTCACGATTTGTTGGTTTCCACTCCTTTACCTGCGCTCTGTGTTTGCAGAAGCAAATTTTGGCGTGTCTTATAACTGGGCAAGGACACTGGCTTTGAGCAACTCTTCAATGAATCCCTGGATATATTGTTTTCGTATCGCCGAGTTTCGTGACGCTTACAGAAGATTATTAAAATGTCAGTGGAAATCAGGCACAGTGTGTCGCGGTGGAGTAGGAGACCGAGATCAGAACGATCTAGACACAACAAAATCCAGTGAGTTAGACACTCAAAATGCAGTTTGATCTGACTACTTCATGACTAAGCTTCTTGCTTAAAATAACTATGAAAACTGTAAGATATTCTATGGTGGTTGAGGTAAAAACTTTATACGACATTCTCTTCAGTCAGAGTGTAGTTTAAAAACAACATTTCGGTTTTGAGTTATATTTTGATGATATTATGTGATCACTTTGTACAAACGTAACAGAAGTAGTTGAACTTTTGAACAATTTGTAACCATGAAAAGAATATGACGATAGCATCCTTCTAGATTAATATTCTTTTCAGATGACTGTTTATTATATATTAGTCGTTCTCTGCTGTCACGAAATGATAATCACAAGCAAGGGTGTGCCTAAAGCTTTCCAAAAAAAACTAACGAACGAGACAACAATCGGTTTATTTTTTCCGCGTCGTCTCGATTGGGATTTTAACAATTTACTTTTTTCGTTTTGTGTTGGGATTTATGTCCCCTTACAGTTGTATTAAGTTCGGAAAGCTACCCTTTTACAGAATATTGACTGTTTGTTTTTTTATTTTGGTGAATAAAGAAAATATGATATTAATCTCACTAAAGATCCTTTCAGTCTGAACACGAATTAAATGTGATAAACGATCCACTGTGAAAATTCCGTTTATTTACTCAGCTAAACTACCTTTCCCGCTTTAAAAACAGCAGCAGAATATGGTCTGCACTTATGATGAATCTTTAGTCATCTTACGTGATTTCTTTGTTTTCGTTGAAAGAATTGAAAACAAAGTTTGTTATCTTTGTTTGCAAAGTCCAAACATTCTTGACGTCATTGAACCACAAAAGACCCATAGGATTAACCTTTCAACAAACTGCTACAAAACAAACAACCAAGCATTTCCGCGCCTTGTGCTCCTCTCGCATGTTCGGTTCCCGGCCCCACTCCTATATAGATCAATAACTCTTAATACAGAGTAGTGACCGTGAGTATAACACTCGCTCGTGGAGTTAAGCAGCATATATATCATAGAAAAAATCAAAGGAAAAAGAGAACTACAGTCCTCTTGACCCACAATCTCGTTTTAAAGAGCCTCCTTTGCCTTCCGTTAACCAAAAAAAGGGCTCGAGAAGCGCAGTCCTCATTTTCCTAACCGCCGTTCAAGGTCGATTCTTCTGTGATTAAGCTTTGCCCAAAATATGCCAGATTTTTACACTCTCAGTTTTCTTTCTTGATTTAATCTTTTGACCCCAATCATCCTAAATATAAAAAAATTAATAAGATAAAACTAGGGTCAGGAGAACAAAGGAAATAATCATCAACTTTAGAACCTTTTGATTGTTAAACAATTCTCCACGTCAGTACCATTGGAAATATATAGGGAGCAGCATGGAGAAGATGACTATTGATCGTAAAGACTAAATATCAAACAAAGCCGCAGTCCAATGGCGATCTATTGTTTTTTGACATCGTGTTGTAATAATGAGGTATGAGGCTGTGCGGAAACGTTGTCAGATATTATGGTCATAAGGAACAATAATTAAATTATGTTGTCTTTCCTTTTAGAGAGCTGAAGTAATCATTAATCTGCTAACGTCTTTAACTCTCATAAGAGATTAACATGTAACTTCTCCCTATAATATCCGTGCATTATTTAGCAAACAGGTTATGAAAACTTATCTGGCAGAAGTTGTTTTCTTGATCTACTTAAGATCAAACCCTCGTTACTAATTCTTCATGGAAATGTGTAGCATCCAAAGGACAGAATTAAAAATCACGTCTTGGGAGTTAAAGGGTTTATCACTTTTCTTGTTTCTCCGATTTTCCCACAGTCATGTAATTCTAAAGATGACATCATCCCGATCTTTGTTGTCAAAGTGATTGAACTGAATCTGCGGGATTAATCATTATCAATTTCTTGGGGGAGGGGGGGGAGGGGGGAGGGTCGGAAGATTGTGGTTGTGTCACGGAAAAATCTACCTGATCCCCCATAAGGCTCTGTAATATTCTTATGACCCTCTCTCCCACTTACAATTCAACAGCTCCCCTTTATACTATGTTAGTGACGACTGATCCCCCTTCCGCCCCCCCTGAAAACCAAGTGATCCCCCCCCTACAAATCCTCCGGCGATAAATAGTCCCTAAACGTTGAAATTTATGAAAGTGACGCGCTACAGTCAAATGTCACGCACACAGCTGATCATTTATTGCAATGATATACTTTATTAGATCTATCTTTAAATCAGTTAAAATCAGGTTTCAATGTCATCGCCATTTTTTAACTTGCTACATGTTTGAATATAACAACGATACTAACTTTATTAACCGTGTAAAGTGTAACAAATACAACATCATAACCTACACCTCATTTAAATGATTTAAATCATAAAATAGTATATACATCTAAATTTTTATTATTTTTATTATTATTATCATTATTATTATTATTATCGCTCTGACGAAGGGCTAACGCTCGAAACGTCAGCCTTCAAACCCTTTACGGTGGCCAGTTTACGTTTTCAACTCAGTTGTTAACACTAAATTACCTGTTATACTCTCCCACCGATGCAGCAACACAGTTTCGTTAGAAACTTACCCCCTTTCTAAATTTTTTATTCTACAAGTAATAACATTTGCAAAACCTTTGCATTTGATTATGGATTCCAGCGGTGATATTCTACCGAAGGAATCATGAAAAATACAAACATGTCACAATTGAAGAAGGCTACCAACATTTAATTTGATTGATTAGCTAAATAGAAATACTTTCGAGGAGATCTTTCTAAAAGCTCAATAGAGCTTGCTAGATCTCCTGCCATGTGAAGTACTATTTACCTGCATCTAATAATATCAGTATTATGTTACAAATGATACAAAAGCAAACCAGCATGAAAAACTATAACTTCTAGACTGCAATTGTTCTTAAGGCATAGGGTTACAACAAAAACCGGCATAAAATTTACAATTTTTAAAGTACATCACGTCAGTTGTGTTAACTCTATGATTACAGCGGATTTGCCGCTCACTCATTTGAGTGTTCTCTGGTACGACTTTATGAACAAAAAAAATATTTCCCTTCTTCTATAACAACCTAAAATCGCTCTCTCATCTTGAATTAAATTTTGAACGAAGGCTTATCGTAGTACATGTAAAACGTTTGAAACTTGGGAAATATCACTTGAGTGATATCCTCGGATATCCCCCAGTTTTAGCCGGGGAATATTCTTTCTCGCAAAGCGTGAAGGCAATCGCGCACGAGCAAAAATATTTGATGAATCATAAAGGTGGATTTTTTTTTCTGAGCTGCGAAGCGGCGAAGTAAATATCCACCGCCAGCCAGCAATGCTGAAGTAAATAGTTGTTTTTGTATATACTAAAACAGTTACATAATATAGCACAAAAAGGTGATTTTAACTCATTTATTCCTGTAGCAGTTATAATATTTTTGGGCGTAGATCCCGCACGACTTGCTCAGAGGCGACTTGCAAATAATATTTGGAATTTCAGTGGCCAATCAGAGCGCGCCTTCAATGCTATCATACATTACCAATGACTCCAACCCATGATAAGTTTGAGTTGAGCCATAATTAGGCCTATCACCATCTTGAATCTCTTTTGGAGGTTCATAACTATCATGGATCATCGCTAGTGCCGAAATAAGGAAACCAAACGAGGAAAAAATGTGCCATATATCATGCCAGTCAAAGAAACCCATAAAGTTACATTCTCTGTTTAAATCACGCGATTTTTCAGGAGACTTACTCTTATCTATTGTTTCATTTGTTTCCAAAATGACAAAGGCTGCCACAAAAAAAGGAATTTGCAAAAAGCGGAATAAAATTTTACACCATTTGTTACATCCACTGGAGTCTGACTGGCTGCCAAAAAAACTGCCGAGAATGAAAGTTCCGAAAGCTGCAACAGCGTTCTCTATTAAACAAAGATAGAGAAAGGCGTCGGTAAATTCTAATACTTTAGCAATCCAGAGGCTCGCAAACAAAATCGGAAAGAGGAAGAGACCAAAAAAGCTAACTATTATCAACACTTTGTTTTTCCAGATCTTCTCGAAGAACCTTTCACAGTTTTCACAACATTCACTGGAACAGCGCCTCTGAACAAGAGAGTTCCAGCAGGCTATACTACATATCTCAGGAAACAACTTATATCCAGCCCACGATAGCAAGATTACTAACCAGAGAACGAGAAGTATAAAGACCGGGATTCTGAACACTTTGGCGAGCCCTGCTTCTGAATGATACATTGTTCCAAGATAATTGAAAATTAACATAGGAACTACGAAGTAAAGAAACATATTTGCTGCTCCTACACGATTTTTAGCGCTTACACTTGCTGAGCATTCCTGCATTTCAATGCCATTATAGCACCAAACAATACTTAAACCTGCACTCACGAACATAAAAGCTGTATCGAACTGAAAAGTCAACCTACTCGGACAGAGATGATAAAGTGCTGAAAATGCCCCTACAAACAACAAGGCCCAGGCTTGAGCGTAGCCCAAAGAAAAGTTATACTTCTTTTTAATTGCTGCAGGAAACATTTCGTCAGGAGATTCGGTATCTCTGGGAACATGCATTTTTCTGAAATGAAGCGAAATATCGGGACATCTTAACACGTGATTAGGTAACCTTTCGTGGGATTCAATTTTTGTAGAATGATCCTGATCCTCGCTCGTTCTATCTCTATTCTCTCTTCCATCTTGCACCTTTATTTCATTTGTATCTCTTGATTTCTGCTCCCCCTTTTCCTCTTCTAGTAGTTTCTTTTTCATTTCTTTCTTTTCGCGTTTAAAATGTGGTTTTGCGTGCTCTTCTTCCTCATTTGGTTTCAGCTTTTTTCCTTGTTCCTTGGCAAGTTTTGTACATCGAGCAAGTACCTCTGACTCCATGCAAAGAACATTTATAGCTAATATCAAGCCTTGCGAGACGTAAATAATATTACTAACAATTAAATTATAGGGAATATCAGCATAGCGCACTCGATAACAGAAATCGTTATAATAACAGTGATCTCTGTCGCCCTCTTGAATCATTAAATACCAGTCTGCAAAGACAAACTGGAATGAACCCACCATTAAAACCGAACCGACAATAATTGTGATGTAAGAGTACGTTTTGGGACCCCGACTAAACGAATGAATAAACAGAACGGCCAGCATAGCTGAGAAAAATTCACCGGGGGTTATACTTAAACTAAAATTATCCGGAGTACTATTACTTTTTCCCTTTATGCACTTCTTGCACTTCTCGCAATCTCTCACTCTAAAAATAAACCATGCCAAAAGAGAAATAGCAACACCACCTAAAACATTGATTACAAGTTGCGAAATCCACAATGGATGAGCGTATGAGTAATCAAATGATCTCGTCAAAGTCAATTCAACTGTCTTTGTGGCTTTAGGGGAAGTTTCGCCAGCGGCGTTTTTAATTGCAATCCCAATGAACCAACTGGAAGAGGAGGCGGTCAAAGGTGGAGTGGAGAACTTGGACAAAGTAATCCGTCCCCTTTTGGCGAACGACAGACGGATTGACTCTCCTTTATAGTCCACAACGTTAATGTTGTCTTTGACATCCTTACAGTTACGTGATACTTTTAAGTAAGCTGGTACGTCATCAGACTCAGAAGTGACAGTTATGTCAAGTTGTGTGCTTGAAATGTCTTCTGCTGGAATGAACTGATAAACAGCTGGATAAGTATCCTTTGCACTCAGTTTAACCGGCACTGGGACATCTAATTCAATGCCTCTTTCTTGTTGCATTTCCGCCATGAAACCAACGCCATCTGTGCCTGAAAACAATAAATGCCTTCCCCTAACCTTACCCTTGGTTGGACAGAAAGGCAAACTTCTCCATCCAGCTTCAGACGTTGATATACCAAGATGGCTAGTTAGCAAGGATCCCTCGTCTTCTTCATAGGCAGAGACGTGCAGTGAACCTTGAAGCAAAAAAAAAGACGATTCCGAATTTAGTTAATGCTGTACCAAATGAGAAAAAAATTTGTTAAAACACTCGTTCTGTTGAATGCAGATAAAGTGGGACGGTATCACAGCGCATCTGTAATGTTTATTCTATAAAGCACTAATTAGCACTTGAATAGAGCCCTTAAATTTATGCGTTGCTAAGTTAGAGTTTTCCAAGTAGATAGATGAAGCGACTTCATCATCTAGGCTGCGATTGTATTCAAAAGTGACGGAATCTTATACTGTGTCAGTTAATGCTGTACTAAATGAGGCGAAAATTTGTTTAAAAACACGTTAGTCTAAACAGACTGTGAACTACAGATAAAATTCATATAAGTTTTCACATATTCACAGTCATTTATTTATCACTTCACGGAGTTATATGGAACCAACATAATAATCAGCTCCCAGTTGGCTTGTTAGCTCAGTTGGTAGAGCACTGCACCGGTATTGCAGAGGTCATGGGTTCAATTCCCGTACAGACCTGAATTTTTTCAGGCCTTATTTTCACTACTGCTCAAGTAATGTTCATTGGTGCGAAGATCGCTTTTGTATTCACGTCTTTATCCTCAGTTCATATACATGATTTTCATATATTCACAGTCAGAATAAATTGTGTTGAATGTAGATAAAGTGAGACGGTATCGTGGCACTTCTGGAATGTTTATTCTATGTTTATTCGTTAAACGATAAAAGTAGAAATATATCTAATCTAAAAGCATTGTTTGGGTTTCCTTATATTGATGTTGGAAAATGAATGGAAATAATATATTAGCATAAGCCAGTCAATAAAAGAAATTAGAAAAAGTAAGTTGGTCATTTGTTATTCCTTCTAGCAGTGTTATCTTACAGGTAGAATTTCGGTCACCTTTTTAGCTCATTCATGCTGAAAGCAATGAATGAGGTATTGTCGTGGAGCAGATGTTGACGGAAGTTGTCGACCGTGGACGGAAGTTGCATTGTGGACCGCGAACGGAAGTAATCTCGCATACTACCCCTCCCGACTTAGTGAAAGTCAAAATTAATTTCGATGAAGCTCAGAAACTCACGTGGAAAGAAATGAAATGTTTATATGGTTTAATAAATAATAATTAATAATAATAACCTCAAATAACATTTCCGAACTTCTGAAAATGCAACTTGAATCGAGAAGCCGAAATGTTCACACCTGGGGAACCTGTAGCGGGTTCATTTCAACGCATGCTGTGACCACACGGAAAAACATCAGAGGTAGCCATATTGGCAAGCCGCGCATTTGCGTTTGTCCTCAGTTGGTATAAAATTAATCATTGCTCTATCATTGTACTTTTCCTCGTGAGCTCTTCAACATACAGTCCACATATCAATCGGCACCTGGATAGAGCTCTTAAATTTGTGCGTTGCTAAATAAGAGTTTTCCGAGTAGATAGATGAAAGAAGTTCATCATCCAGGCTATACTGCGATTGCACTCAAAAGTGATGGATTCTTAAACTGTATCAGTGAATAAAATAGAAGTTATGGAATATTTTATCATCTTCATTGACCCATAGCTCAGTAGTTGTGCTGCATGCATCGCTGTGATATTTTTTGTATCCCAGAGATACGGATTCGATACTCTTCCCGGCTCCTCCCGGCGAAGAAGAAATGATTCAAAGGACGAAATAAAGGCGGAGAACCACAGAGAAAGCTTGTGAAATTAATATTTATTGGAAAACTCAAAAGTTTTATCATGGAAATGAAAGAAAATTCTGACTCACCTTTGGACCACTCGTCTCTTTTGGCTTTCAAATAAATCAGTCGGTTTGTCTCATTTGTCTTCACAAGGCAAGTGTGACTCTTTTTTGAAGAAGGAAGCTGTCCCCTAAACCTCAGTGATGGAGCCGAAGTATTCTGGGCAGTCGTCCATGATTTTATTCGTTCGAAGGTGCAGTCTACGTGCAGCTTAGCGTGAGCACCAAATGGGAAATGTGGGATGAAAATTAAAACTGAAAACAGAAGAACTGCAGAAAGGAGCATCCTGAAATTTCCGCTAAAGAAACTCGACTTCGCCTTTTTCTCAGTATGGACCAAAGAGGTTGATCGCAAGTTTAAAAACTTCCTGGGTTTCCAAGAAAAAAAAAAATAAACTCTGATTGGCGATTTCTGTTTACATTGTCTTCAACTGTGCATAAATTTAATTCAGTTTTCACTGACCAAAGAGGTTGATCGCATGTTTAAAACTTCCTGGGTTTCCAAGAAAAAAAAATAGACTCTGATTGGCGATTTCTGTTTACATTGTATTCTACTGTGCATACATTTAATTCAGTTTTCACTGACCAAAGAGGTTGATCACACGTTTAAAAACTTCATGAGTTTCCACGAAAAAAATAGACTCTTAGTGGCGAGTTCTGTTGGCATTGTCTGCTACCGCGCATAAATTTAATTCAGTTTCATCGACAAATAAAACCATTCTCTCCCTCGCGTTTCAAAACTTCCTGGGTTTCCAAGAAAAATATAATAGACTCTAATTGGTGATCTCTGTTTACACTGTCTGCTACTGTGCATAGATGTAATTTAGTTTTCACTGACCAAAGAGGTTGATCGCGCGTTTAAAAACTTCATGAGTTTCAGAGAAAAAAAAGTAGACTCTTAGAGGCGATTTCTATTTACATTGTCTGCTACTGCGCATAAATTTAATTCAGTTTCATCGACAAATAAAACCATTCTCTCTCTTAACAAAAGGGAGATTAAAAAGCGACTGTTTATTTATTTATTTATTTATTTTAAAAAGAATGACTTCACAACGGTCAATGCCTTTTGTGAGTGGTATGCCTCCGAACATGTCCTCTCTTCATACAAATGCTCGCCAAGGCACAAGCATAATCAACCATACTTAAATGGAGCTGATCACAACCCTATCGAAGCATTTTAACAGCTCGGTGGAAAAAAAAAAACTCTTGTGTCAATTAAATATAAGTATTCGTTAGCTCACTTGAATTCATGCCTATAACAAAGAAACTGTAAATAGAAATCTTTTCTAGGAAATCGACAATTTCTGTCAATTTCACCGCATCTCTTCCCCTTCGACAGTTTTTTGGCGAAAATAATTCAAGCTTAAATGCTCACAGCAAACTCCATAGAATAATCAAATTTTGTCCGTTGTTTATCTGGTGTAGCTTTACGTGACTTAGGCGAGGTGTCGCTGTGGGAAGGGGTAAGTACTCATAATAAGGAGAAAATTATCCAGTCTGGTTATCTAGAGTATAGCCAAAGAGAAGCGAACTTGGAAATGCAGGTAGAAAACGCTCGTTTTCAGCGAAATGCGCATGGAGTTTTGGTATAGAGACATGTCCCAGGGTGCAATGATCTTAGATCGTAAACCAGGCTGATCGTAAACTATAGCTGAAAAAAAATGCTGATGGGGGGATTTTCGGGGCGCAAACCACCACCGCGTGGACAACGGTCGAAATCGGAGTGTGCAGCCATGACTTCATCTTATGACAGGAATAACAATGCCGTTAGAGCAAGCTAAAACGGCAGAAATCGCCAGAAAATATGACGGACACACAAGATGTGAGAAAGTGTTATTGATTTTACGTGTAAAATGTTGATATTTCGAAATATTTATCCGACGAGGTAAATCGACCATATTTCGTTCCCCACTCTATTCCTTATAACGTGTTCAACGGTTCCTCTTGTAACTTAATGCCGAGTCACACAACGCGTGACGCTTTCATGAATTAATAGTTTGCTTTTTCTCGAAACGTGAGCTTGGAGACGCCTGTGGTCATACATTTTTCTAAAGGACGCCATCTTGTTGACTTGACTAGGAGGTATATCTGAGCGTTGGCTGACAGGAAGGTTATCTGAAGTAATCAATTTCAACACACGCAAGTATTTTGATACTTTAAAATAAACACTAAACGGTTTGTTTATAAGAATGATATACTTAATTAATAATACATATCACTCGTTTAATATACAACAGGTTTCAGAGATAAAGGTTTTTCAAAACTCTCGAAATGCTCGAAGACAAAACTAATAAAATTTGCCTCGAAGTACGACAGAATCAGTGATTGAAGCTAATTTGATTTACATTTTTATTACGCCCATTTTGAAATCACTAGTGGTCCCTGTAATCTGATTGGCTCTAATGGGTGCGATTTATTCACGAATCGCACCATTTTTTGCTTTAAATCACACCTTTTTCCCAGCCAATGAGGAGGTTCAACTAAAAAGAAAACAAGCAATCAGATTTCAAGGCTTATTTAAAGTTACCAATCACATTGCAAGAAAATGAAAGACAAAGAGTATCATTTTGCAACTTTTGTTTCAAAACTCTTGCTTTTTCCCCTCCAAAAATGATGAATTTAATTTCAGACCAACTCAATACTACATCTGATAAAACATTTGAACTGACCAAGTCCTCTATTTGGGTGATTTCAAAATGGATGTAATAAAGTGGTAATTGAACCTTGTTTCGTGCAATTTTGGTCTGAAATCATACTTGTGATTTCAAATTGAACTCGCACTGTGTGCCCGTTCGATTTTCAAATCACGTGTATGATTTCAGCCCAAATTGCACTCCACTCAGTTCAATTACCATTATTAATCATTGACATATGGTTAGTAAGTAAACTCTTTATTCAAAGGGAGTAGCACTTAATAACCAAAAGGCTAATAAACTTTTATTATACCATATGAATATCAAAATATCATCGCATTCTACACCTGCCACAAAAAATAATACGTGGCTCAAAAACATTACAATCAATCTACAGATAATATGGTCAAAGTGATTAAAACTTTTGCCACAGCCTCTAGTACCGTAGTAATAATAATAATTGTGATCCATCGAATGTTTTCGCTCGCTCGCTCGAGACTGGTTGAACATACCTCTACCTGATTATCATTATCGCTATTAAAATACATCAAGAAAACTTCGGATCACATGAAAACTGAAAAAGGCCAAGACAAAAATCATACCAGTATTTATGGGCTCATAACACTACGGACCTTAGACTTTCCGGGGGCGGACGACTTTTAGGTTCAGGAGGGGTACCAGAAGACATCTTTGGTAATTTATAGCTTAAATGAATCAACATAAGCGCCCCCATGAACAAACCAAAGGAGGATAAAATGTGCCACTTGTCATGATCGTCAAAAAAATTTGCCCAAGCACATTCCTTGTTTAGATCACGAGATTTCTCAGGAGACTTACTCTTATCTGTTGTTGCTTCGTCTATGAAAAAATGTAATGCTATTATCATAATAGCCACTACTACAAAGCCGAAAATCCCTTTTAGAGCAAAACGAAGCGTCCGCCACTCTTTTGAACTATCCTTTAACCAGCTGGATGTCAAGAAGGATCCAACAGCGACTAAAGCGCTCTCTCCCAGACAAAGATACAGAAAAGCGTCGGCAACTTCTAACCAGCCAACAAGCACGAAGACAACCATAAGAATTGCCCCAAAGAAACCAAGTCCACAAAAGAGACCGACTACAAAATTTGGGGTGTAACATTTACAACAGCTGCATTCAAAGATAACTTGGTTGTCGTTGTCCTTGTTGCTTTGCTGTCCTTGTTGCTTTGTTGTCTCTGTCCTTGTTGCTGAGTTGTCGCTGTCCTTGTTGCTGAGTTGTCGCTGTCCTTGTTGCTTCGCCAAGTTTGGTAAGCTTTTTCGTTTGATTTTATCAATTGGATAATATCATCATCAAGACATTTACACCAATCAGCGCTCTTTTTTGGGCACAACTTATATAGAACCCACACCGCTATAATGAGCATCCAAAGACATAAACATAAAAAAAATAGGATTGCTTTGGTGAGTCCCGCTTTAGAGTGATACACGGTTCCAAAATAATTCAATACGAAAATAGGAACCAGGAAGAAAAGAAAGAAGGTTGCTGCTTCTACGAGCCTCTTTGCGTGTACAGCTTCAGTGCACGGCGTTGTTTCAATTCCGTTGTACATCAGCATCACACTTAAACTTGCCATGACAAACATAAAAGCTGTATCGAGATGATAAAGTGTAGAAAACATTCCTTCGAAACAGAGGGCCCAGGCAAAGGCGTAAGGAATGGAAAAACTAAACTTCTTCATCTTTGCTTCGGCAGAAATAATTTTGGGATAATTACCATCCGAAGGAACGCGGATATCTTCGAGATGTAGAGAAATATCGGGACACCACAACGCATGACCAGGTAGCTTTTCGTAGTTTATCTGCCTTGTTTCTGCAGTTTTCTTGCTTTCGTTTTCGTTTTTGTTTTCGTTCTCGTTTTGTACTGTTTCTACAATTTCATTGCTTTTGTTTTTGTTTTTGTCTTCGTTTTCGGTTTGTACTGTTTATTCAATGTCATTTCCCTCTTTTTTGTTTCCGTTCTCGTTCTGTCCTGTTCCTGCATTTTCACTGGTGTGTTTCTCTGTAATTTTCTGATATCGAGCAAATACCTCTGACTCCATGCAGAGAACATTCACCGCCAAAATTAAGCCATGCAAGACGAACGCTAGGTTACTAAGGATTAAAGAGATTAGCGGCTTCTTTCGTGCTCTAGCCGCTTCCTGCGTGCTTTATAACAGAACAGAGCACAGTCAAGGCTTCTCTATTTGTTAAATAAAGCACGCAGGAAGCGGCTAGAGCACGAAAGAAGTGTAGGGAGAAACGCGAGACGAACGCTAGGTTACTAAGGATTAAAGAGATTAGCGGCTTCTTGAGTGCTCTAGCCGCTTCCTAAGTGCTTTATAACAGAACAGAGCACA